TGTGAGGATTTTTGTTTTCTTTATATTGAGACGTAATCCATACTGCAGACTGTATTCTTCAACCTTCATCAGTAGGTGCCTTAAGTCATCCTCACTTTGAGCAAGCAGTGTCACTATGAGTTAGAATAAACTTGATGTCATGGGGCTTTTTTGTTGTTTGTTTAGGGCACTGCTTTGGTAGCTTTAAGTGTTCTGTGTAGAACTTCTTAATCTAGATTTTGAAGTGAATGTACCACCTGGAGGTAGAACAATAAAAGATGCTAGGTTAAGAAAAATTTGATAATCTAACAATTATGTAGTCTAGAAATCTCAGTGGTTAGGCATTTGTATATTGCATGCAAGCTTATTGGGATGGGTGTTCCAGAATGGATGGATATAGTGAGTGTATCAGGACACTGGGTTCTTTCACTAGCTTCTTGTTAGCAGACCGTGGGATTAAGTCTACAAAGTGATCTGCTTGCCATTTTTATGGCACATTTCACAAGGCACATACTCTTGTAATCAAGTGGAAATAGCTTAAGATAATGAGCTCAACCACAAATTATAGTTTTTATTAGTCAATATCAAAGTTAGTAATAATTGTTTAGGTAAGAAAAGAAACATGTATATGTTATTCCAGAGTACATGGTGAAAATAAATGTGTTTATCAAAATGCAAAAGTATTAATTATTTGTCTCCGCATGTTAGAACCCTTGTGTTAAACATTCTGTAATTACTAAATTCATCCATTTGGTAGTTTAAGAGATTATAATGGTTTACAGCTAAGTGTTCTAAAGGTAAACTAATGAAAAGTACTATGATTATTGAAGAAATTTTTATTGAGCCCACAAGGTACTAGAGAGATGGTAAACATGATAGATGAGGTAACTGCTATCATGGGTGTTGTATTTTATTGGGAGAGACAGACAATAAGCACATTTGAGAACCAACTAATAATAATGAGAAGTGCTATGAAGAAAAAAAATTAGGGAAATGTATATTGTGTGACTGGGGTGAGGTGTAGAAGGGAAGGTCTCCCTGAGATAATGACACGAGCCAGGACTTAAAGGAGTCCTAACAGCATATGTAATTGTGCTGATGAGGGAAAAAGCTTGGGTTATCAGGGCAAAACAGAGAAGGGCAGTGTATTATTAGTTTCTTAGGGCTGCTGTAACAAATTACTACAAACTAGATGACTTAAAAAATTAGAAATTTAGTCTCTCATAGTACTGGAGGCTACTAGAAGTATGAAATCATGGTGTCGGCAGGACTGTGCTTTCTCTGTAGGCTCTCGGGGGGAATCCTTGCCTCTTCCATATTCTGGTGACTGTTAGCATTGCTTGGCAAATGTGGACGAGACTTTTCCCCCTTAAACATTTTATTGTGGTTTGGGTGAACGTTTAGAAAGCAAATTAGTTTTCCATTCAACAATTTAGACACGTTTTGTCCTGTGACATTACTTGCAATCCCCCAATGTAGTAGCAGGAGCTCTGGTGGCTTAGTGCTAAAGGCATTTGACTGCTAACCAGAAGGTTGGAATTTCAAACCCACCAGTCACTCCTTGGAAGACTGGGCGGTCTGCTTCCGTAGAGATACTGCCTTGGAAACCCGAGGAGGGGTCGCTATAACCCCAATATACTCATGGATGAACTCCCATTGACGTCACTGCTGTTCAGTTTGCATTTTCAATACATTTTAAGGTGAGCAGAGAGAATGGTGCAATGTTGTTGTTGTTAGGTGCCATCGAGTCGTTTCCAACCCATAGTGACCCCATGCACAGCAGAATGAAACACTGCCTGATTCCGCGCCAGCCCCACAATCCCTGCTATACTTGATCCCATCATCGCAGCCACCGTGTCAGTCCGTCTCGTTGAAGGCCTCCCCCTCTTTCGGTGACCCTCCACCCTACCAAGCATGACATCCTTCTCCAAGGAATGGTCTCTTCTGACAGCATGACCAAAATAGGTGAGACAAAGTCTGGCCATTC